CTGGCTGGTGCTGCTGCTCTTCTCGCTGCTGGGCTTCGTGCAGGGCCTGGTGTGGAATACGTGGGGCCCCATTCAGAACTCGGCCCGCCAGGCCTTCGACTTCTCCAGCTTGGATATCGCCCTGCTTGTCTTCTGGGGGCCCATCGGCTTCGTGCCCTGCTTCGCCTTCATGTGGCTCATGGACAAGAAGGGTGAGGAAGGAGGGAAGGGCGAGGGCGGCTGTGCCGGGAGCCACCCTTTCCCACCGTCTCCGGAGTGGGGAAAGACTCCTTCGATGAAAGCAGACTAGCCCAATTCGGTGCCTTTCGGGTGTGTTGAGTGGCAGCGCCTGGCACCCTTAGCCAGCCTGGCTCCGGGCGGTGGGAGATACTGCCCGAAACGTCCGGAGGGTTGGGTTGTTCCCCCCACAGAGGGTGGGCCACCCAGTTATAAAGGTCTGGAGAAAAGGGAGCTTGGTAGTCTTAATTAACTGACTCCCACTCCTTGGGGTGGGTAGACATTCATGGATCTAAAACCTGTTACTCTTACCCAGGCATCCCTTCAGTTTCCCTTGTGATGTGTTACATCTGAAAAAGAATTTGTATGTGGATGAATATATTGTTTTAAATGTTCGTTAAATTTGAGTCTCTCTGTGTGGACTATACCCAAGGTGGCTTGCAGCATCCAAAAATACAAATTATATCACATAACAATAAAAACAGTACAATTAAGATCAGAGGTAAATTTATAATTAGTATCATCAAAATCAGTTCAGGTCACAGTAAAAGCTTGATGGAAGAGGCTGCTTTTGTCATCTTCCTAGGAGAGTAAAGGCCAGAGATACTACTTTGGTGAGGGCAGTTCATAGTCTGGAGAAGGCCCTCTCTGCTCAACCAGATAGCTGAGCTTTTGACAATGGGAAAATCTTTGAAAGGACCTTTCCAGCTGATCTGAGTCACATGGCAGGTTCATAGTAGAAGAGCTAGTTCTTCAGGTAGATAAACCATATGCTTTTTAGGGCTTTACATTATTCCTGATTACCATTCAGCAACCACTGCATATCTTTTGGGACAGGCATCAAATAATTCCTGATTTTCTTGCTGGAATTTTTTTGAGTAGGCACAAGGGGGCATGTTAGTGCTTCACC